CAGACACACAGATACCGATCTCAGCGAAATGTGTGTGGTTGGATGAAGTGAATGTTGTCAGATGTGTTCCGTCATCCACCAGGAAGTGGTGAGTATAATGGCAGTAATTTAAAATGTTTGCTGTGACCTCTCCTGAATCTGCTCTGTCTTGCCAGATGTCCAGATGCCCCTATGTGAAAGAGGTGGAAAGGGCTGGGAGAGGCCAGCTGAGGAGAGGTCGGTAGGACAGCTTTTGTCTTTTCCACGTGCTTTGCGATGGAAATCTGGAAATCATCCCTGCCAATGGTGCTTCCTCCAACACAAAAGATGCTAAGACCTACAGGGCTAGAGGCAGGGGAGGGGGTCTCCCCGGGGTCCTTAACTCCAAGGCCCAGCGGGATCTTCTGTGGAAATGCTTGCTATCTGTCGGGAATCCCAGCCATTTGCAATAGGGTAGCCCCGGAAGCCAAAATCCTTGTGCATTATGGGTCTTGGGATTTCTCTGCTGCACAGAAGACCCTTGGTTCTAGGCAGCAGGTGGAATGGAGGACTTGAGAGAGTCCTCCACTATCCATCCCACCCTCCTTCATCCACTCCACCCCCATCACTGGTATGGAACAAGGAGAAAATTCTCGGTGTTAGTTCCTAATTTTTGGTAGGCTTATACACCCCCTGAAATGTTGATGAAGGGGCTCATCTGTGTCGCCCCTCACCCATTTAACAAGCCCTCACCTCCCTCACCTCCTCTGCCCAGTCTGCATCTTCAGGATGAGATGTGGGTGAGTGTTCAAATATCCACAGCAAGTCTCAGTTTTTCTAAGGTTCACCCAAACCCTCCCTCCTCACAGCCTAGAACCCTCCAAAATGCCTTCAAAGCATCTCACTTCCAAGTCTGTGAGACTGAAGGGGACTTGTTCCACCCCCCAAGGTGGTGCCATGGCCTGTATGTGGAAGCACACTCCTGAAATAAACTGGGCTGGCCAGCTGCAAGCCAGGTTCTTCAAGAAATCCCTTGGAGCCCATCATTTTGTCCCTCACTTCTCCAGCCTGCTCCAGGAGGTCCAACGGGGCTAGCAGGCTCGTCCCGCAACTACTGTGCTGTGGCTATTTGTAGGGGTCTGAACCTGAGCATCTTGACCCATATTCCCATGGGTAAGGGAAAGAACCATCTGACCTCGCTGCTGGCTGCCTTACTCCCAAACAACCCACCTTTCTCAGCTCCAGTTCTCCCTAGTGGCAACCATGTGGAAGCCCTTAGAAGAGGCCTCCATCTCCTACCCACAAGTTTGGGCTTGGATGTGTCAAGTCTGATCACAGTTGGTCATTGTATTGATGACTCATGTCTGCCAGAAGCTTATGCTGCCCTGGTGGTGTCTCTGTATTGCCTGTAATCACACCTCTGAGTATAAGCGCCAAGTATATTTGTTTACCACATGGGCACACTTCATACATGTGCATATGCGTTTGTATGTGTGGGAACCTGCATGTGTGTCATGCTTGCTCGTGCACAGACACCACTGTCCTGGTGGGACACAACACACTGAGGGCTTTGCCTCCCACTTGTTGTGTTTCTCAAAAAGATCCTTTCCATCTCAGGATTCCACTCTCCCAACCCCTGTGTGTGTGCACATGTAAAACAAAACCTTTTTATTCGAGCATTCCCAAAACTGAGACTGGGACTTCATTATGAGACGAGTGTTTGAGGGAGAGAAGGCAACGTCACCAGAGCCTCTACCATCCCTCTCTTTGTTTTATCTTATTTTATTATTTCTACTTTTTTTTTTTGAGACAGAATATCACTATGGGCTAGCCTGGAACTCACTTTGTAGAACAGGCTGGCCTTGAACTCATAGAGAGCCCCCTGCCCCTCTGTGTCTTGTGAATTCTGGTGTTAAGTGTACACCACCATGGACAAGCCCTCTTTTCATAAGACATCAAGTTAAGGGGTCTTCTCAGCTGACCCAGGAAGACCTGAAGGCTCCAGCAGTCAAGAGGAATGGAGCAGTGCTCTTGCCCTGGGAGGGACAGCTTAAACAAGGCCAGGCTGTGTAGAAAGTGGGAGGTTCTGCTGGATACATGGCCTTCCTGCCCAATTTACCCTCACTCCTTTCGGTGAGCAAATCACATCATGTCAACTGCCAGATGAATGGCTTGTCTGGGGCACACTCAAGCAAGCAAACAAGTATACACACACACACCACCACCACCACCACCAAGCTGGCTATCAACACCGGAGTAGGCCCTCTTCTGGCGCCTCTAGCTTCAGCCTGAAGCTTTCCTAGGAGCAGTCAGTTCTCCCCTACCTCAGCACTTCCGTCTCACTGAGGGGTATGGGGGAAGGGAACTGTGCTGAGGTGCTGATTGGCTTCTAGGTGGCTGCATCCCTGGTGACCCACAGAATGAGGTAGCCAGAGCCACTTCTCTATACCCTGGGCATCCCCATTTAGGGGCCTGGGAGTCAGGCACCTACCATGTACCCACAAACACCAAACAACGATTATCAGTTGGAGTCTATATATCCAAATCGCCTCCCAAGGCTTAATAACTACATGCACAATACACAAGTCAAAATGACCAAACATAGCAAGCCCACTGCTGCAGACATACGTGCCCACACAGGTCTTTTTGCCAAAATGCCTTCTGCTTCCATACAGCCTCTTCCTCCCTATCTGTCTACTATCCCTCCCACTACCCCCTCCTATCTCCCCCACCCAAGGAAAAGGATTTTCTAGGGAGAAAACAGAGACCTTTGCCCTCAAAAAGAGCTTGAGATCGATATTGTTTAGACTCCTGTAGCTTGTATTTCCTTCTAGGCTGAGGAAGATTTAAGTATATGGTTCAATCCAATCTTTAAGGGAGGGGGAGGAAAAGGAGAAGATGACGGAGTCCGGATGGTGTGCTCAATTCAAGTATTTATCTCGATGTAGCCCCACTCTTTAATAGCCAGGCAGCTTGCCAAGCCAGCCCCATAAATCAGAGAAATCAATGCCTATTTATGATCATTATTACTCTCTTTCCCTCTTTTTAAAAGAAGGGGTGCCAGAATAAGGTCTGCCTGAAGCCCTCCTCCCCTTCTTCACTGCCCCAATCAGGAAGAATGAAAATTGGAAAGGGGAGGGAGAGAGAAGAGGAAGGTCAGTCCTGACCTTGACTACAAGGCCTTGGCCATATCTTTGAAGTATAGGCTACAAAAAGACACAGGCACAGAGGAGCAAAGCTTCGAAGTTCTCAGAGCCTGGTTTGTCCTGCTGAACAATGAAGAAAACTCTATTTGCCCACGTGATTAGAAGATAAAGGGAGATAATGGGTAAGAAATCAAATTATATCACAATACTGCTCCCACCAGACACTTAGCCAATAGACCCAGGAGGTGGAATAGTGGCCTTTGCTGTCCCTAATTGTAAGGGGATGGAGATCTCTTGTCTTTGGCCTTTTTGAGAAGGGGGGAGAGTGCTTCAGGAATGGACACTTCCTAAAACTGCTTTTGCAGCTGCCTCTGTCCTAGCCCCTGAAATTGGTGGCCTTGGATGCTTCAGTGTAGTAAGGGACCATGAAGGGGAAATAAAGCCCTTGGAGAGCTCTGGAACTCAACATGTGCTTCTGGGGAAGGAAATGGGGGGCCTGGCCCAGATTCTGAGCTGGTTAGCACTCCAGACCTCAAACTTCTTCACCTAAAGGCTAACCTGCAGAACCAAAGATGTCAAGCACCACTCCCCAAGAGAAGAAAAGTGGATGTTCCCAGTCACACCTAAATGCCTATTTGTTATGTGTAGATGGTACCCCCAAAACAATATATTATATAAGGGAACCATAGGAATGTCTAATGGACTTCCAAGTGCTCTCCAAGCCACAGAACCCCAAGTTCCCAAGCCCTTGTGCTGAGACTTGCATGATCCTCTTGACTTCCTGGGGTACAGAACCTAGTACTTTAAGTTCCCTGACCAGGAGTGGGATGTTGAGTCATGTACATACCTACACACAGTTACATACATGTTACATTCATCTTGCACATAGGGAAAAAGGGAGGGCAGAATTCATAATTTATAAAACCATAAACAAAAGAGAGATGGGAGCCTTTTAAGTAGGCTCTTCCTCTTTCTTCTACCACCTAGCCTCTGAAAGTCAGTCCTGGAAGGTCTGTCCCAGAGTCCTGACAATTGCCCACAGTGTCCCCTGGGCTGTCCAGGTGTTCGGCCTGTCTTATAAAGTCTTCTCTGCATAATTCCTCTCCTTGTAGTGAGGAAACTGGCCAGGTTTTGCTGGATTTGGAAAAGGGACCTTCATACTAAAGCCTCAGGTCAGGGAGAGGTAGGCTGTTTGGGGGCTTCCACGCCCAGAACATGATCACTAGACACAGCTTTCCTCAAAATCAGGCCTCCTTTTTGCAGTACTATGAGACCCTTACCCTGTGAAGCCCCGTGCAGACTATCTGCCAAAGGAATCCCATGCCCAAAGGAAGAGGTAAAGTTGGGCTTCAGAGAGACTCTCAGCCAAAGCTGAGCAGCTCTGCAGCAGGCAGCGTGTCCCCACTGCAGGCCCCAGTAAGGCCTTTGGAAGAGAAAAACCTCCAGCCAAACTTGCACCAAGAAGGAAAAAAAAAAAAAAAAAAAAAAAAAAAAAACGAAGGAAGAAAAAAGAAAGGGGCTCTAAGGGTGTAGTTCGGTGCTTGGAAGCAGGTTGAACAAGAGGACTCAGTTGGCTGAACCTGCGTAAGCTTAGGGAGCCAGCTGGAGCCGCTGGGGGAAGGGCAGCATAGGACAGGAGTTTCTGGCATTTGGGTCCCCTAGAAAACATCCAGGGATCAGGCATATTTGTCAGACCAATGCCAAAGCAAATCTGGACGGCCTGTGCCATACACTCCTCCACACTGGCATCACTGGCTGGTGATGGTCACAGCCTGACCTAAGCTTTCCAGGGTTCTACACTCACAGTCAGTGGTCTCCGGTCCAGTGCCTGGACTGGCTCTCCCGTCCCACAAAGAACAGTGCAGTCAGCGACTCATGAACACAGTGAACATTTTATTTCAGACTACAGCTTTCTGAACATAATAAAATCTTTGGCTTGTAGCGGCGGTTCAGTCTCGCAGTCTGTGGGGTTGTATTTCTCAAGGAGTCTCCAGAAAAGGAAAGGGATGTGGGGGAAGGACAGAGAAGACCAATAGAGGAATCCTGGGTGGGTAGAGGAGAGTCGAAGGGCAGACACACAAGGAAACACACTCACACGCACACAAAGAAAAGTCCCAGAGAAACCAGGGCCAGCGTTGATGGGTGGGAGGTACAGAGAAGCAAAAACATTCAAAAGAAGACAGCAACGAAAATGAAACTGGGCTGGGGGCAGCAAGGTAGGGAGGAGGGTAAAATAATTATAATAATTATAATAATTATAACAATAATAATAAATGAGATTAATAAAAATGTCCAGCAAATAGAGATCGCTACACATATCTGTTTTCCTTACCTGAAATTAAATATATACACGGTCTTAAGCAGTTTGGCTAGATAGAGCTTTAAGGAATTCGCAGTTTCGTCTTATACTGTGAGTTAGAGAATAGATCTTTTTTTTCCCCCCAAAGCACCTGTCCGAGTCTTTCTCCCGTTTCAAAAACCGTTCCATTCCAATGTTGAGTGTTCACTCGGAGGATTGCTGTCTCTCGCTTGCTTTCTCTGTCGCCCTGATTGATACCTCCTTCCTTAGCGATCATCTATGCATGGCGGCGTGGGGCTGGCAAAGCACAGCCCCGCGGAGCCGGGAGGCGGCACGGGCGCGGTTGGACCGCGGGCCGGGGCTGGCCACAGCTACTCGCTCTCGTCTTTGTCCTGGACGGTGGTGGTAGAGTGGTTGTACAATCCCTGGGCCATGAGGTGCAGGGCCAGGCCGTTCTTGATGCCGGTGGCTTTCTTGATCTTGGCCCGCTTGTTTTGGAACCAGATCTTGATCTGAGACTCGTTCAGGCTGAGCTCCTGGGCCAGGGTCTGCCGCCGCTGCTCCGTGATGTAGCGGTTTGCCTGGAACTCCGCCTTGAGTCTCTGCAGCTGCTCGGCTGTGAACGCCGTCCGTGGCCGCTTGTCTTCCTTCTCGTTCTTTTTCTTCTTCAGCTTCCTGGTGCGTGGACCTGCAGAGGAGAGGACAAGGCCGGGAAGGGGAGGAAGGGGGCCGGGGAGCAGAAGGAGGGGGAGAGGGCAGAGTAAGCCTTGAGAATGGCTGTGCGAGCCCACCGCGGGAGTCCCGAGCTTCCGGGGCGATTGTGCAGGCCAGCTGCTGGGCCCTGCCACCTCCATCACAGAGCCCTGCTCTACACCACTGGGGTCTTTACGGCCCCCTCTGCAGGAGGGACTCAGAAGCCAAAGGGGAACATTGCAAGGATTGCAGGGGTCACCCAATTCTCCAATTCAAGAAGGCTCAGAACAGACTTAGCTCCCAGGACTTTTCAACCAAGAAAGCCAAAAAAGGACGGGGTTTCAAGACTGAGTGAGTTTTGAGGTCCCAACCGGTATAACCTAGACTTAGGGGGTCCCTAAACTGGAATGTCTTCTCAGCCCTGCAGCAATGAGGTCAGGCTCTGGGGAGAATGGCTCATCTGCCTTGCTTCCCACTTTATTTTCAGAGAGGCACACACACACACACACACACACACACACACACACACACACACACGCTGACCTATGCAAAGCTCATACCTGATTCTCTCCATTGACCCCAGAGAGGATGGGAAGCTGAGATCACCCAGTTCCAGAGAATTGGAAAGCTTTCTCTTCCTTCTTCCCTTTCTGCTTGACTTGATAGGAACTCTTTCCGTAAGGAAGCAGGACACTGCCTGCCCCTCCCTAACCGGGCTACAGACCCTGTCTACGAGCTTAAATCCTGGGATATTCTATTTAGCTTCTCATTTGATGCCAGGGAGAAGGGCCCTTCCGACTCCTCTCCACATGGACAAGCGGGGCTGGGGAAGGGAAGAGGGTTCTGTTATCACCCTTCTGAATCTGCTCGCTCCACTTTGAGGGTGTAAGAGTCCTGAAGTAACACACACAAACGGGAGAGCCCATGGATGTGGGTAACTGCACACATAAGCAACACAACAAAGACTGCCTGTGCCGCCACCCCAAGATGAACTCATAGGAACGTCCCAGGAATACACCTCAAAAAGATAGTCTCTCTCAGCTGCTAACGTGGAAGGTTGCTACTGGGGTCCAGGCCAGGAGAGAGAGCCAGGCTGCTGGACCTTGCCTGGAGGGCTCAAGCCTGCTTCTTGTCATTCTTATTGGGATGATGGCATTGAACTGCTGGCCTCAGTGATAGCTATGGGGGCCTACGGACTTGAGAGACATTCCTGCCTTGTCTGCTATTACCTAAATCTATCTGAAAGGAGGGTCTTTGCTGGAATCTCCAAACCTAGTGACCACTGGAAAGCCGGGTAACTGGATCCAGTGGCAGGCCAGCACCTGGGGTTTGTGAGGAGGCCACCAGGCCTAACTGGCTGTGGGAATCAGGTTGAGGTCGTCCCTTGTTCCCATGAACTGCCTTTGGAGGAGAAGTGTCTGGCTTCTGCCTCCTCTGGTCTATAAAAAGGAAAGAAGCTACAGACAAAGACAAGGCCTGCTCCTGAGCAGGCCTGGGGTTTAGATGAGTCATGAGGCAGGCCCGGCAGAGATGGCCCAGGAAATGTGGGAACCCTCCAAGGGACTCCCCCACGGGAGGTGCGTCCAGAGCAGGCTGTAGTGGAGTTGTTGTTGTGTGCCTGTGTGCAGAGGCGCGGACACCTGTAATAAAATCGTAGCCTCCTGGCCGGCCGACCCACTCAGCCTGACAGCTCAATCACTCTATCCATCAGGCGAGTCAATCAAAGCAGCTTTTCGGAGGTTCAGGGAGCCCGATGTGTCAATAACGGGGCTCGAGATGGCTGGGGCTGATAGCGCTCATCGATCCGCACCCGCCCGAAGCAGCGGGGCCGCAACAGACCAGCCCATAGTGGGGCGCCTGTGGCTACCTTCAGCCCGGCCCCCTGGCGGGCCCAACGCTGACTGTGGACCCAAGCCCCTGCTGTTCTCCTGGCGGCCTGCGCTGGCCTCCTAGAAACTCCTGATCTGTGCAAGGGGCAGCAGGCCTGAGCCCCCTCTCCCAGGGCCCAACAGCTGTCCTTGGGTAGGTGTTTCAAGACGTGAAAAGAAAGCAGAGAATTGGCCTAAGATGAGCAGATAGGGAGAATTTGCGATGGAGAGAGAGTGAAAGAAAAAAAAAAAAAAAAAGTCAAGGCGGGAGGGACCGGACAGCCCTGCTGGCAAACGCTGATTCTCTCGCCCACGGCACAGCTTTCAAACCTGACCCCGGGCCTAGCTGTTTTTCTCCCCCCTGGCCTACCAGCTCCAGCGAGTGGCAGCTCACCTTTCCGGATACAGCCTCCCTCTACATTCTACCCAAGCGGGTTGACTCTCATACCCGGGCTGGGCGCAGGGGGTGGCACAGATTTCCTGTCTCCTTCTGCCTCCCCTGTATCTGTCTGTAAGTAAACGGACTCTCCACAGAATAACATCCATAGTGTTCGCTAAGAATATACGGCAAAGACTATTTGTCTGGTTGATTTCCGTGGCTAAAGCCAGCCCTGACAGGACTAACGTGGGAGAGCGCAGATCACAAGTCACTAGGCCTTTCTCGCCGCCAGCTCAAAGCGCCCTTTCCCTACGAAATAAATTACTGCGTATATCTTTCCTCGAGATAATAAAGGTGAAATAAAAATAATAATAATTTAAAAAAAAGACCGCAGGGCTCAGAATTGGGAGCCCGGAACCAAAGAAACCGGGAGCTCCCGCGCGTGCCAATAGCTGTAACTTGCTTGGGAGAAAAGGTCAGCATGGCAGAACCGAGCGCGGTCCTGACTGGGACCCGGGGCGAGAGGAGCAGTCCAGCGCGAGGTGATGGCACAGCAAACCGGGCTTGCTCTCCCCGGCGCGCGGACCGGCAATCTGGGGACGTGGCCGGGCCGCGCAAGCACCGGCGCCTCCCGGCTTGGGGACTCACCCGAGGACGGACGGTCGGAGTAGCGCGTGCAGTAGACCCAGGCGGGCCACACCAGAGGCTGCTGCGAGTCAGTCTTGACCACCGGCCCCCCGTTGGCCGAGCCCATGAGCAGGATGGCCGGGTTGTGCTCCGGGAACTTGGCGCCCTGCGCCCCGGGGCTCCCCGCGCTGCCGCCGCCGCCGCCGCCGTCCGAGGGCTTCGATGCCGCCGCCGCCGCCG